ACCCATCACCTCCCCACTACCTTTCCATCACCTCCCTGTGACCAGCACCAATTATCAGCACCCATGACCAGCACCCATCACCTCCCTGTTACATCTCCATCACCACTTGCCAGCACCCAAGACCTCCCCATCACCAGCACCCATGACCTCCTCCTGGACAGCACCCGTGACCTCCCCATGATCAGCACCCATCACCTCCCTGTTACCTCTCCATCACCTAGGACCTCCCCATCATCGGCACCCATGACCTCCTCCTGGACAGCACCCTTGATCTCCCCGTCACCAGCACCCATCACATCCCCATCACCAATTGTCAGCACCCATGACCTCTCCATCACCCATAACTTCCCCATCACCATCACCTGAGACCTCCCCCTCCCCAGCACCCGTTGCCTCTCTCGTCTGCAGCACTCTTTGGGAGAAGGTCACGTCAACTCTTGATTTAGGCTGTGCTTGACTGCTCCCTCGTTAGCACGGCGCGATAACGAACCTCATAAAACTTCCCACTGGCCCATAAAATCCCACGATTTATGGCCGAGTCCTATTGACAGCAGCCGAGATGGGCCGGGGCGGGGGTGTGTGTGTGCCGGGGGAGCGGTGAGGCCACCACAGTGGGAGGCAGGAGAATGCGGCCACCGCGTCCTTTGGCAGCCAATTTTCCAAGGATGTCTCCAACCGGAGCTGGAGGGGTCGAAGCTTTGACCAAGGAGGGTGCAAGGGGCCAATATTAAAACCTCACGGGGGCGTTTTCCAGGCAGCACCACCCAGCTCAACATCAGAGTCTGGCTTTGAGCAGTCTGATCCTGGTAACGGCTTGAAAAAAAAACCCCAAAAAACCAGACCAGACGGTTGAAAGCGCCCTGCTGGATTATCCTGAGCCTGCGCGGCTCTGATCGGCGAGCCCAGATGTGTGCAGATGTGCGCGGCGATGTCTGGGTTTGCTTTTGCAGACGAGGTGGCGGTGAGGGGGGGAAACGCTGGAATTCATGGAAAAAAAGAAAAAAAGAGAAAATTGGAGGCGGAGAGGGAAACCGCTCTGACAGGGAAAGCTCGGTGGGGCCCCGCAGCCCCTGCGTGAGCCCAGACGGCTGCGAGCAGCTGCGGGGATGGGGAGGAGCGTCCTCAAAGCCCAGCATAAAATTTCATCGAGGTTTGATGCAGAAAATGGGAATCTGGAGAAGCTGAGCTTGGGCGTGATCCTGCGACGGCCACAGGAGGGAATCTCTGAGGGGGGCATGGGTGTAAAAATTGGGCTTTGGTGGCTTTGTGTTTTATTTTAGGTGGCGTTTTAACGGTGGTTTCCCAAGCTGAGGGTGACTGTAGGGTCTTGCAGGGCAGCTCCTAAAATCAGGCTTTCCTAGCCCAAGCGAAGAGCCCCCCGGTCCCGCTTTTGGCTTTGCCAGACATCGCCATGGAGGAGGAGGAGGAGGCTGGGATTGGAGCGATGCTCGGGGACAGGGACGTGCCTTGCTCTGACCCAGACTCTGGGAAGGTCTCACCTAAAAAAAAGCTCCTCTCCCACACGTCGCACCCGAGCTGGGTGGATCCCTGGAGGCGAATACGAGGCCAGGGATCTGCTTACCCAGGGCGGAGGTGCCCACGTGCCCGGCAGACACCAACACCTTCCCTTTCCTTCACCACC